GTTAGTCGCCTCTTACAGGAGCATAGTTACCTCTTATGACAAGCATAGTCATCTCTCACAACAAGCATACTGGCTTCTTACTGCTAGCTCAGTCATCTCTTTGGCATATCACTCAAGAAATGTTTTTACAATAAACATATCTTTCATCAGCAGCTTGTCATTATTAAATCCAAACCAGACAAAAAACTTCTGGTTTCTGGCTACGAGTAAAAGACGAGTAAAATCTGACAGTCTTACAAATGTAACTTATCATTCAAGCACAGTATCATATTTCCAGGCTTGCCTCATTCATGTCATATCAAATTAAGTTTTAAGTCTTACTCCAGTCCTTCCTACATTCACAATATCCTTCCTTAATAATAAGACAACCCCATCATTCTTCATCAACTCACTATAATGATACTAACTCACAAGAGCAGACTACGGAAGTTATCTTATCAACTGTATCCTTCCAACCCTTGTCAGTCTGGCAAGTGCTCTCTCAAGTACTGGTCCTTGTCATCAGTGATAGGAGACAGGGGCCCTGGACATTCTGAATATAACTCATTCAAATTTCCATCTGCCTGCATTTACAAGTCATCTGGTAAGCTTCAAACTGCTATGCCTGGGCCCAAGGGTCTGATTGGCTGTAAGTCTTGACCTGCCATTCATGGCAGATAATTGGATAAGCATAGCTTGATGTATAATTGCTTCCTCAAATTCACAAGACTTCCTTCCTGGTGCCACTGTAACGACTTACGGGGTAAGAATGGTTAAGTATCTGAGTCATGTAGTCTTCATGTTTCTTTGCTTTCATTTCTAAAAGATTTTTATACATTTGGTCTCAAGTTTCCCCAAATTGTAATGTCGAATTTAGTGAATTTGGACTGTAGGACTGTATCATATTTTGCTGCCCCACCCCATTATTTTTTAAAACATTTTTTCAAGATCCCACCCACCCCAAATGCAAGTAACAAAGTTCAATGTCGGATAAAAAACATCCCCCACCCCCCTCAAAAAGAACTTAAATCTTGAAAATGTTGAATTGCCAAGTTCAGTGGCCTTTTTTGTCACGCATTCTTGATTTTTGCCCAGTTTTTTTCGGAATGATTATCAAATGAAACTTATTTGCTGGTTTGCTGGGTGTTGAAAATCATTTGTAGGTTTTTTATCTGACATCAAACTTTTGAATTGGTCCCTAACAGTTACTGGTTACCAGACGATGCACACTTCCCAATAACTAGCACTGTTGTTTCACATCACCACCACAACATCTAGCCTTTGGGTGGCATATACCATTTAGAAAGGTGAAAATCAGCAACCTCCTTCAGCATTACAGATTCCATCTCCCAATGACCTTACCCTGAGATTTAACAGGATAGAACTCCATCACTGAAGTCAGTATTTTGGCAAAAACTGTACATACTTGTATCACCATAACCAAAGTATATTAGATAATACTTAAAATAGGCAGCATAAATGCACACCACCTGGAGTACTGACTGATTCCTAATCCCAAATTGAAATGGAAAGTATTTTTTTCTGCCTTCTGGTGTCTATCTTCAAAGGTAATTTTCCAAGTCTTAGTCTAATCGTGTTTATTTTTTTCAGTTTTCTACGTAGCAAATGTCATCGAATCTTATTCAGGACTCACAGAAACTTCAAAAAGATTCCCTCATCAAAGAAGCACATTACCAACACTTGCTACCAGTAATTGTCTCAGGCAGGTTCTAGTGAGACTGATAACTTCCTGGTCATGTGACTGCATGATCATGTGACCAGGTAATCGCCGACTGAATTCCTGGCAAGCAACATGGAGAAGCATCCTTTCATCCATATGGTTTCTGTTAGGTCGCAATAACCTATTTCATCCATCTTTCGGGGTGTTTTCTTTAACAATGCTCAGTAATCAAGGTAGTACCTTTTTATAAGTAAGGGATCTTCATGACCCAAATGTCATGTAATTAAAGGCTTATTGGAACCCAAATTCAAAAACAAAAGCAGCAAATAATAAGGCCACCAGGTGTCACCATAATTTTGAATACTGATAAGTAGCAGCATAATTTTGAATATTAAAAAGTAGTGTAGGAAGGGATAACTGATGTTAAAAATATATTTTTAAATATTTTCTGGTAGAGATGAATTGTAGATTTGCATCTAATGGAATAACATATATAAAGAATTTTCCTCTTTTATATTAGCTAACAGGGATATAGTATACAGTCAAGTCCCGTTAATCCGACATGGCTGGTTGCATATGATCATGTCAGATTAACGAGTATGTCAGATAAACGAAATTAAGTAGTACCAACGTTCGTCGGTCATAGTTCGCGAAAGGTTCTTCTGAAGTGACCTGTAATGGGATGTCCTCTGCGATGGTGAGAACTTGTATCTGATTTTAATGAGATTGAGGTAATCTGAGCATGTGATTAATTCTGTTTTCTTTATTTAAAGCATTAATTTTTTGTTGTTAAGCAAAGTTTATCTCTGCAGCTTTGTAATATGCAGCTCCCAGCCGACTCGTCTCGCATCAAAACACGGGCTGTGTACTCGCGGGCAGATGACCACGGAGTACGCTGATCACTGGATTAACGAGACTGATTAATGAATGATTTCGGTAATTTGTTGCAAATTAGGTGTGTCGGAGTTGGAGTGTGAGACTGTCGGATTAAAGGGTCTATAAATAGCACTGATTAAATCGGTTCCTATCATTAGTGTCGGATAAAGCCGATTGTTGGATTAATGAGTGTCGGATTAATGAGACTTGACTGTTTATGGTCTCCTGTAGCCAAATATCAGCCTATGATAATGCCAAGATAATTATCCATGCATAGATTATGACCTAATGACCATAATGAATTAATCCCAATTTCTTAGTTGTGCTGTGTTTTTGTCCACTAGTCCTTAAAATGGTTACACACAGCAAAACCCTTTTAAAAATTCCTTAAAATATATGATATTTCTATCACTACCAAAGTAAACAATTTTTCAAATTCAATTTTATTTCAGTGATTTTGCTAGAAACAAATGGCATTGTGACATTTATGATTCTTTTAACTCTCGATAAGACATTCTTCTATAGTATTATCAACCTAAGAAATGTCTTAAGGGCATTCTGTATATCAAGAATTCATTATCTTTGAAAATGAACCAATCTTGATGCCTGCATTTCTTGATCAATCAGCAAACTGTCATTTCTTATATTCAATTATATTATTTGATATTGTTAAAATCTTTATGTTACATAAAATATTTAAGTGGGAATTCCAGAAATGTCTTTTGTAAATCACACATGACCAAACAGTACATTCAAATTACAACCACCTCTCAATGCATCAGTCATAATAACATCTCCTAACACATTATCATATCCCAAACTGTGGCCAATAATCACACAACATCCAAACTTCACACCTCTTTCACCGAAGTAATCTAACATAATACTCTCCAATCTGCTTCATCCACACACAATCCTGACCAAATATTTTGTGTTTGCTGACAGATGAGGTCATACTGACCTAGGCTTCAATGACTAAGGGTGCCTAGATCAATAATGACTGGACTGCAGGTAAATCTATCTGGAGGCAAGGGTTGCATCACATCTCTCGTTTCATTCATTTTCTATTAATTTGCAGAACAAAGGAAAACTAAAGAAAGAAACTGACACCCTTGTTTACTGGGTATTAGGATTATTATTGTGAAAAACAAAATTGTATTTTGTAACAAGATCAGACAGTTTTCATTTTTTATCCTTGATAAATTTAATCATTTTCTGTTTCCTTTTCCTGTATCCTTATAATTATTTAGAATAATGTTAAGTATTCACCAACAACAAAGGATATTGAATGATTAATTATAATGTGTACTTTTATACTAACAAAACTATTTTCAATTACGGTACTTAAAATTATTAATACAAATATTTCCCGGATGTCATATCAAATAAAATTAAAAAGTCCACTAATGAGTGTACAAGCAGTTAAATTTCACAAATATTTAATTAAAACAGCTGTTGTGTTGTAGAGCAACTGAAATTGATAATTCCACATCTGTTTAAGAAAATTCCGAATTGTATCCCTAGACATTTCCTCGGTTTAAAGAAATACAATTAATCAAACCATGTCTTCTCATTGTGACAATGAAAAACGTAACACAAGAATACTTGATTACAGAACATTCAGTCCTAAAACAGAGAAACGGTTCTACAACGGCATAAGCACCAACCCCACTCACGCACCCTTCCTTAAATAATCGTTGAAGTAGGCCTAAATGACGTTCCACAAAGTATTCCAGTAGACTATTAGTTGTTACTACTACGGTGTTGACCGTGTATCAAGTTCGCAGTTTCTTCAGATGATTAATCTGCTCCATGACTCACAGTGATTCCTGACAATGGTAACGAGTAAGAACCAGCCAGCTAGTTACCGAAGTATAGAGCGATAGGCCCAGCTGAACTGGCTGATTATCAATGGCATTGTTATCGGGTAGCGGGACACTCCTTTTTCCCTTCCTGACATCTTCTAGTTTTAGGCCCAACAACATCCAAGATATTTACCCACTGCTAACATACGATGAATATCACGAGCCCCACGATTGTACGCAAGAGATGAGAAATTTGAGAAATCTTCAACTATCCCTCACATACGAAGTGTCAGACGTGCTTTTTATCCGGTCGATGGTTCGACGGAGCGGCATGGGAGCGCTGAGTCACTTAAACCGCAGCGTGGCTAGAAGGCATCCGTCTGCTTAAAGCTTCACCGAGTATGAAAGTTTGATAATAAGTGTAAAAACATGTTCTAAGTTCATCAATATTTCACAAAACGTTAAAAATACAGTCTCAAATCCGTTCAACAATTAAAACCTTGCCGTTGTAATGTCCATTCATAGGATTCAGGAACGGTGCCAGTTGTGAAAAGTCGGCACCGGTCGGCACGCTTCAGCGACTTTTGAACAAAGGGGTCTAGGCGAGAGAAGACATAACACTAAACTTTAAGTTACAGTTCACATTGACAAACACTTACTGGTTATAGGCAATATACAGAAAACGATCGTCCTGGTGTTCTTTGTTCTCCTCGTGTTTCGCCCGCTGTAAGGCTGAACCGGTGCTTGTGATTCAAGATGGAGCGAATGCACTTGTGCTCGTGAGACGGGAGCGGCTTACACTGGCGGATTTTTCACCAATCAAAACGGCGATTCTATTCGCATCCTTCTGGCAGCAGACACTTCCTTTACCAATCACGGCTCCAGACAATGCGGTATGCATGGTTCTATGCCATAAAAAAAGTTAGGTTAAACTGAACAAACCTCGAAGGATTATCCAAACATGGAACTTTGGAAATCGTACTTCTTTTTATAAAAGCCTCCAAAAAGTCGTTTCTGAACTGGACAAATATAAATTGTTGTATGATGTATTGCCATTTCATTAAGTATTTGAATATTAGATCGCAAGATAGAAAAACCGTACTACTTCTGACAATAAAATTATAGGAGGCGTTTTGAGCCTTGTCTTATTTCTATTCTCTATAAATGAGGGGGGGGGGGGGGGGGGGGTAATAACTTAGTACGAAGCATGGACACTGGCTAATTTAATGATAAAGACGGTAACTTATATTACTATACGTATCTTGGAATTGTGTTCTCTTGTGTTTTAGTAAAATCGCTCCAATATTGATGTATGGTTCGGAAATATGGGGTAATAAATATCATGATACATATGAAAAGATACAAACAAGCCATTTTAAAGTTTTTCTTGGTGTGGGTAAATTGGCAACAAACGTAGCTATTCTGGACGTTGTATGTTTATAAATACGCAAATATGGGTTATTAAGTACTGGATTAAACTTTTACGAATGAATGCATGTCGATACCCCTTCCAAATTTATGTTATGCTTATGGAAAAGTCAGTTGGGCATCGTATGTAAGACAAATGTTATTTAATAACGGTTTTGCGTTTGTGTGGTTATTCCAAGATATTGGTGATGTTTTGGTCTTCATTTAGAAGACGCTTAAGATACATCTATTTCCACATGGTACCACAGCTTGGGGTCTACTCTCTTTTTGGTGCATTATGCTAATGCACGTATAACATGTCTACTGTAACCCCAATTATATACAACTGTACTCAGAGACAAACGATTAGTTACAGCAATGTGTAAATTTTGAAAATCTCTTCACAACTTTCGGGTCATACAGAATCTATATGTAAAGAATGTGATCATCATTTTATAGAGGATGAATACCATGTCATTTTTGTATGTAAGAAATATCTTCACTTGAGAAATAGTTTATTTTACCTCATTACAGAAATATTATAAAGGTAATATAACGTTTGCAAATTTATTTAACTTCTGTGACATTAATGTACTACGCTTTATAGCTTTATATTTATGTAAATTGTTTTAAATAAGATCGTCAAAGATGTAACACTCTGGACATGTGACCTAAACTATGATTTATCTTACAACTGTACTATGGGGCATGTGACCTGAATTACAACATAAACTTGACTGTGGAATATATTTTACATAGTATAGAGAATCAAGGTCAACGAACAGGTGATAACAAGCTTGATGTGAAATGTGAAATTCAGATACATTCTCACTAAACATGATGATTTACCATTTACAATTTATTTTCTGTTCTGCTAGGCATTGTTTTATGTTCAGAATTAAAGATTACCGTGTGTATTTTCTCGTAAACTAAATAGCAATCAGCTGAATACACATTTTCTACCAATACCCCGGTGATTCGGTTAAAAAATACACTATAAAAATAACTTCAAAGAATTATGATGCAGTGATCGGATGAATAGTATCTGAAACTGTTATTTTATCAGATATATAATATTCCAACATTGATGTATTTTAGTTGCAGCTTTTACCATGTATATGTAAAATAATAATCACCATAAGCGTAGCACTTTGAACAACTGATTGCAATTGCCGGATATGTTTTACGTATGGAACAATTTGATCAATCACCGCTGAAGCCTCCCGCGTTCTTGCTGCAGCAAATGAATGAAACCAAAGGACAATATCGACGAAGACAAGTTCTATGGATGAAACAACTTCTTTATTACAATTAGTGCGACGTTTCGGTGTAGATCCTAACACCTTTATCAAGCAAGTGATCATTAGTGCGACGTTTCGGTGTAGATCCTAACACCTTTATCAAGTAAGTGATCACTTGCTTGATAAAGGTGTTAGGATCTACACCGAAACACTTGCTTGATAAAGGTGTTAGGATCTACACCGAAACGTCGCACTAATTGTAATAAGGAAGTGATCACTTGCTAGATAAAGGTGTAAGGTCCTACACCGAAACGTCGCACTACAGTAAACTACGGTTATAACGAACACGCTTATAACGAACTGATGGATATAACGAACTTACCTTTTTGGTCCCGACTATTTGCTGTAGTTATGCTGTATATATGCTTATAACGAACTACAGTTATAACGAACTAAAATTAGTAGTCCCTTTGAGTTCATTATAACCGTAGTTTACTGTAATTGTAATAAAGAAGTTGTTCATCCATAGAACTTGTCTTACTTTATCACACCAACTTCTAAATGCCACTGATAGAAGACAATATCGACATCCGACAAACGCTATATGTATCATAGCAGGCAGTTAACTATCAATGTTAGTTTAAGGAATGTATCCGCAGATATCCACACAAAGGAACACTATCCAATACATCTGAATCTGTACAAAGCAGATTGTTCGATGTTACGTGTCTTTGTAACAATCTTTTTACAGTATATGTCGCGTTTCGGTATATTATGACCCATGTTCGTTTCTCAACTGACCACGCAAGTTTGTTTCAGATGTTTCACATATAGGTGTCAAGTCTCATTGGTCAGCTGAGATAGCACACGTGACAACTATTTTCATGATGTCCACGGTTCTTTAAAAATCCAGAGTTATAAAACGATGAGCAATCATACAACACATAATCGGCTAGACCCGTGAAGATCCGGGGTAGAACAGGTCTTCAGCAACCCATGCTTGCCGTAAAAGGCGACTATGCTTGTCGTAAGAGGCGACTAACGGGATCGGGTGGTCAGGCTTCCTGATTTGGTTAGATGCGTGGATCGATGTTGATGATGTCAATCACTGGATTGTCTGATCCAGACTCGATTACTTACAGACCGCCATCATATAGTTGGAATATTGGTGAGTGCGGCGTTAAACAACAAACAAACAAATATAATCGGCTAATCCATTGATCGATGTTTTTTGCAACTCGACTGATCATTCCTCTCATGCTGCGCTGCCACATGCAAATTACATAACATATAGTACATTCACCACGTGAGACCTGGATATATAACCCAATCGTTGAGTAAATAATCGAGTTGTATAAATGCTATTCCAAAAATAGAGCCTGTCGTTTTTTTCTAGGGTGAGGTAATAAAACTCCAAATCTGGCTATCCGCGGCGAGACAGGTTGGTTGTCTTGTACAGCAAAACAGAAAATTTAGGTAATCCGTTTTGGGAGAAGACTGAATATGGCAGACCCATCACGAAAATTCCGTAAAATACAGTTATTGATTTACTCCATGCATTGAATTGCCGTCGATTAACGTGTTCCGCATTGCAATAAGAGATTTTAAAGATAATAAAAATAGTCTGATTGCTAGTGATCACCATATTTGGCTTCGAGGTCTGTGGAATGACACTGGCCAAATAAATGGAAATAAACTTAGAACGTTTAGGTTATTTAAAACAACAGTAGAATTTTCAACTTATGTACGATCTATAACTAATAGACCGCCTCCGTGGTCTAGTGGTAGAGCGTCCGCCCGGGCCGGCCGCGTCATACCAAAAGACGTTAAAAGATGGTACTTGTTGTTACCCTGTCTGGCGCTAGGCATTAAGGGGCTAAAACAAGGACTGGTCGGCTCGGAGCCAATATACTGTGTCTGAGTGGGGTATTCATGTTAAACTACGGTATCTAAGTGTGCTAGCACTATAAATCGGCGTCAGTCCGGACTAGTACAAGCAGTCACACAGACACACACACACACACACACACACACAAACACACACACGTCGCTATATAAGTGCAATAATCTTGGACGCGACATTAAACCCCATTTCACCTCACATCTATAACATGTAGGTATCATCGAAATAATCTTGGAAAGTTGAGATGCGGTACACTCCCTCTAGAAATAGAACTCGGTCGCTTTTCACGTCCAAAAACTCACTCACTTCATCGTATTTGCAAATACTGTGACCACCAACAAGTGGAGGATGAAGTTCATTTCTTAACTAAATGTCCATTCTATTCTGACAAGATTTTCATTGTGGGCACATGCCTCTCAACTTGACCCGTTATTCCCTAATGTGTGACCAATTGACCAGACCATATCTATAATGCAGAACGATCTGATTGTTTCTCCCCTCCCCGCTGCTGCTACTTAAATTTTTAATCGTAGACAATTCACTGCGCAATAGAATATTTTGCAGATTGTATAATGATTGTATTCCATATTTTAGCACTTACGAATACGTGCTGAAATTATGAATATGTTTGTACTCTGGTGTCTCGTAGATCTATGGCCGGACAATGTACAGTGATGAATGTTTTGTATATACAGTAAACTACGGTTATAACGAACTCAAAGGGACTACTAATTTTAGTTCGTTATAAGTACATATACAGCATGACTACAGCAAGTAGTCGGGACCAAAAAGTAAGTTCGTTATATCCGTCAGTTCGTTATAAGCGTGTTCGTTATAACCGTAGTTTACTGTACGTATGTACATTGTGTGACACCGTAATAAAATAATCTTATTCTTCTTCTTAATTAATTAATTAATTAATTACCCCAGATAAAATGCGAACCGCTGAGTGCTTTATTACCTTGATACCCTCATAGGCCGCGGTTAACGTTATTGAGATATTTTGCAGTCTTTGTCAGGTAATCTGAGTAGTTATACAACTAATTATACCTGTAATTCAAATCATTAAATTAGTATCGAGTGAATGACGACAAATACACAGGTGCAGGGTTATACAATGAAACATGGATAACTAAAAGGGAATAGTATTGTTGTAATACATGCAGTTTGCCTGAAACAAAAGTGTCGATGCTGTTGAATATATGAAGTGAATTTCATTGTTACAAATATAATACATACACGTATTTTCTATACAAAG